TGCGAAAACTTGCACACTCCTGAAACTGCGGAGCAAACTCGAACATAATAGACAACAACAGGGAGAACTAAACGAATTAATAATGGAATAGTCACAATAAGTGCAAAATAAAGCGAAAGAAAAGCCGCAAACACACTGAAGTGCTTTCAATAAGCTGAGACGCCAGCTGTTTCGGGGTGACGAATGAGGTCCGTTCATGGGGGAAATAAACCCATGTGGAGGTGCTTTGTGGTAAATTGGACTTTATTGTAATTTTATTTAAAATAATAAAGAAAGTAAAGATAATTTGAGGGGACTTTCTTTTCTTTGTGGCGTTCTCCCTAGCCTGTTAAGGCTAGCTGGGGGGGAGCCAGCCGTCCAATTAATTCGGTTTAACTTCGTCTTTATCCGAGCAGATCTTCCTTAACTCGTTTTTGATTTACTTTAATATTTTTTTGCATTTATTTTTATTTAGAAACGAATTGAATTAAATGAAGTTGAGGCCGCAGTCGTTGCCGTGCCCGAGGGTCACCGCCCAGGGGTGACGCCTCCAGCAGAGTTCCTGGAAGAGCCCTGCTGTGCCGTTTGGCTTTCCTTGAAGAGTTTTTTCAATTATATTTATTTAAGAAGTTCTTTTGTTTAATTCGTTTAATATGAGAGGCATTTGGCTGAAAAGGGCGCACTGAACGGGGGGGCCGATGGTCACTCTTAAGCCGGGAGGGAGCCGGTGCCGCATGCGTTATTCCCGCGCCCACACTCGCGAAACTTGAATTGTTCTGCAAAAACTTCGTCTTTTTATTATTATTTTTGTCGAAACAATTTAATTTATTTCGAAAAAGATCCAAAAAGAAGCTCCTTTGCCTTTCGGCGCCACTGGGGGTACCCAGTGTCAACCGCCGCGGCGGCGAGTCTTGTTGTTTGCATTAGAACATTCTAAAAGAAAAAAGAAAAGGAAATAAATTTCTTTCTTTTTAAAAGAGAGTGCAAATATCAAATTGAAATGAGACGGCATAATCTCTTTCAAATGGCACTCTGAAGAGCAGCACACACACTCCTGCAGCTGCTGCTGCTGCTGCTGCTGCTGCTGCCTCCTCTCTTTGCTGCTGCAGCACGAAACTTGATTTGGTTTCATCTGCTGCCTTTTCTCTGCAGCAGCAGATTCTCTCACTTGTTGGCAGAGGCGGCCAGAAGGGATGCGCACAGCACCTGCAGCGCGGCTAGGGTTTGGTTGAGATGCTGCAGCAGCAGGATCAGAGCGACCAGGAGCAGCAGCAGCAGCAGCTGCTGCCGCAGCAGCAGCAGCAGCAAGAGGATGAACTCCAGGCGCTTCTCGAGCCTTGTGCCCTCATCCCTGGTAAGCCTGCGGCTCCGCAGCTCCTTGCTGCTGCTCTTCGCGTCCTCGCCACAAGCTCCCCTGCTGCTGCTGCTGCTGCTGCTGCTGCTGCTGCTCTTGCTGCTCTTACTGCTGCTGCTGCTGCTGCCTTCGTGCGTCCCCAGCTCCCTGTGCTTACCGTTTGACGCCCCCTCCGCTTGCTGCTGCCGCTGCTGCTGCCGCTGCTGCTGCTGCCGCTGCTGCTGCTGCTGCTGCTGCTGCTGCTGGCAGATAGCCACCTGCTGCTGGTGGCGAGCGGCTGCGTGGAGGCCGTGGAGCTGTGGGGCAACAGAGGCGGAGTCGTTTGCCGCTACGCGATGGTGGTGGGCAGCGACTGGCAGCAAACTTGGGTGGGACTGGCATTAAAGTGGCATTAAAGTGGCATTAAAATGGCATAAAAATGGCATTAAAATGGCATAAATCGGTCCAAATAAAGTGCTTCTGCACTCCAGTTGCTGCTGCTGCTGCTGCCCTTGTGTTGGTGCTCGGAAACGTAGCTTCAAGAACGGCGGCAAAAACGCCCGCGGCAGCAGCAATACTAAGGGCAGCAGCAGCAGCAGCAGCAGCAGCAGCAGCAGCAGCAGCAGCAGCAGAAATAGTGGAAATGGCGCTGGTAGTGATAGTTGAAATAATTACAAATAAATACTAATATCAATAATTCAATAATGATAATGGCAACAATTGTTAAAGTGGTAAAAATAGCTGCGAAAGAAATACCAAAAGCATGCAGCAGCAGCAGCTGCTGCACCGCTGCAGGCAAACTGAATCAGCTAGCAGCTAGCCATTCACCTAGCAGCAGCTAGCCACTCAGCTAGCTGCAGCTAGCCACCCAGCTAGCAGCAGCTAGCCAGGCTATCTGCAGCAGCTGGCCACCCAGCTAGCAGCAGCTAGCCACGCTGTTTGCAGCAGCTAGCCACCCACCTAGCAGCAGCTAGCTATTCAGCTAGCAGCAGCTAGCCACTTAGCTAGCTGCAGCTAGCGATGGGCTTGTAACAGCTAGCCACTCAGCCAGCTGCAGCTAGCCACTCAGCCAGCTGCAGCTAGCCACTCAGCTAGCTGCAGCTAGCCACTCAGCTAGCTGCAGCTAGCCAGGGGTTTTGTGTGTGGCTCAGGGCCTCGGGAGCGGCCTTTCCCAAGAGAGCCGCAGCAGCTACAGCAGCAGCAAAGTGGCGCTGAACTTTCCCTTTCACGCTGCTTTTAAGGTAAGGAGCAGCAAAATCGAGCAGCAGCAGCAAGAGCAGCAGCAGCAGCAAATAAATCCAAAAAAGACTTTTAAATGCTCTCCCGAGGGCCCACTGCAGTGTACATACACCCGAAACGGCGCCCCACAGGCCGCCTCTGAACTCGAGCAGCAAAATAACTAAATTTAATTTCGAAGAAGTTCAATTCAGACTTTCAATTTTAATAATAATAATAATAATAATAATA